TATGCACAACCAAACGGGATATCAAGTATATGTTTGTCTGTGCATTAAACCAGTTAGATATATTCAATAATGTTCTTCAAAAGTAATAGAGATAGCATAAATATCAAAGCCAGGTGAACAACCAGTGACAGATTGATATATACTAAAAGTGCAGCCTATGTTTAAGGCAAAGCAGACAATGGCAACAAACTATGCACCTTACATACTAATAATATAACCAGTGTTGTTGTGTATAAGATTATGCCTTAGGTAAGTTCAACACGGTCCATAAATTGCATCCATGTAGATGCATTCATCATATCTTAACAAATAGCAGTGACTAGATCCAAATGCAATAGAAAACTATGAAGCAATTGAATGAAATAGGTGACTGTTGTTGTCTTCCTTCCTATGGTTCCACCGACTGCACCATTGACAATCATCCTGGTATCTGGTGTCATCCCGTTGTAAAAGACTCTGACCTTCTTCTCATCTGGAAAGTCATATTGAGGACACTTTCTGATCAGTTCTTGGAATCTGTCCCAAGATGTACAAAGAGTCTATCCCGGCTGCTGAATGAAGTTGGTGATCTCGTTCACCAACTTGTTGTACTTTTCCCGAGAAAAATGCTCAGCAAAGAACTTAGCTGCTAGATCATCCCATGTTCGGATACTGTTAGGGGCTTGTCGGTCTGGCCATCTGAGGGTTTTTCCGGTTAAGGCAAAAGGAAACAGCCTGAGTCTGATTGCATCGTCAGACACTCCATGATGCTTGGTGGTGTCACAGATTCTCAAAAATCTGTCCATGAAGTCGTGAGGATCTTCGTAATCCACTCCGCCGAAAGGGTTATACTCCACCAGGTTAATCAGAGACGGGTTGATGTCAAAATTGTAGGCCTCTATCTGTGGCCGGACAACACTAGAGTTCGACCTTGTGAACATAGGATCCAGAATTGACTCCATCAACTCTGCTGCAAGAGGTGGAGGAGGAGGTTGATTATTAGCAGCCATCACTGATTCTTTGCGTGGCTTAAAACTTGTAGATCCTTCTTGATTTCTTTGCTCTGCTCGTTTTCGATTTTCCTTTACAGTTTTCTCGATTTCTGGATCAAACTGTAAAGAATCTCGATCTACTTTACCTCGCATAAACTACAGCAAAAAGATTAGTAACAAAACAGAATCCAATCAAGAAATTCAAAATTTAAAAATAAATTAGGCATAGTCAATCCCCGGCAACGGCGCCAAAAACTTGTTGCGTAAAATCGCAAGTGCACCGATCGTACCAAGTAATAAAAGATGAGTAAGAATATCGTCCCACGAGGATTGAAGCACCAAATTTAATTTAACTATCCCTTTCTTATTGGATGAACAAAAGTTGGTTTTTGAGAGTAATTGTGTTTGTAACAATTGTGAACTATTCAATATTTTGCGAACAATTCAGAGAGAAAATTGAAAACTTAGAATAAAAGGTTGAGATTTGAGAAAAATATTTAAAAAGCTATTGCAGTAAAGGACGCCAACACCTTTCTGATCCCCACCTTGTAATATTAATTAGTGTTACATTCAATTATCCAATTGATCAAACAATTCACTATCTATTAATTAATTAGTTCAGCCCTAATCCCTTAGTGATCTTAACTTTATTAACCCTATTAGAATCCTAATCCCTTAGAAATCCTTTTTCAAGTTAATCCTTTAACCCAGTGAATTTTTCACGTTTGCAGTTCATGTAGCCTATCCCTACTGCATACATGAACTGTTATTTTACCCTTTGTCAGGAACTAGAATCCCAATATTCCTATTGAAAACTCTAACCCTCGCAATCCTAATAGAGTGATCAATTCTAAAAGATTTATAGATGAAGAACAGGATAAAATAAATGCAATTCAAATAATTAAATATAAATTTAACCAAACTACAAGGGGTTCACATCAAGGGTTGTGACCCTTACCACAATAATAAAAGACTAGCCAGACATATTCATGTCTGACAATTCAAAATATTCAAAAGAATTCATAAAACAAAAGAATAACCGGAAGAATTGAGAAGAAGAAATCTTGATCTTCAGTCACCGAAAGCTTGCTCCGATTCCTGTTGCTCGCAATTTCTCCCGTGCAAAAGTTGTCTTCTTTAGTTTCTAACTCCCTTTTTATAATCTGCAATCCAATCACGTCATAATCTTCAGATATTTGATTTTTTTTCTTTCCGTTTCTATTTAAATTTTCAATCACGGAATTTTAAGATTCAAAAACCGACGCCCGACGCGCTTAACGCCAATTTCACGCGATTCGCGCGGGCGATTAATGAGGATTCCTGAACTTGGCGCGACTAGCGTGGAATTCACGCTATTAGCGTGAAGAAACAGTGAGTAATGCAATGTCGACGCGATTTTCTTGATTTTCCACGCTAGTAGCGTGATATTCAAGCCATTAGCATGAGGTTCTTTCAAATCTCACGCCATTAGTGTGAGATTCAAGCCTTTAGCGTGAGAATGCAGTGGCCGGCACTTTTCCTCAGTTTGGAAGCCATTAGCGTGGAATTCATGCCACTTGCTTGAAGAGTAATTGGTCATGACGCGATACGCGCCAATCTCTCGCTTTCCTCCTATAAAAACATAAAATCAGAATGAAAGTGTGGCTAAGATGGATCGTCAATAATTCATTAAAAATAATACTTTTATCATTGAATTACTGTTAAATCCTTATTCTTTTTAAGCCAAAATATCTATATGCAGAAGGCACATCAAACAATTCCCAGATTCAGATATTGCTGTCCCCAGCAATAAATAAGATCAAACATCAGGCAGCAAGGATTAACTCTGTGAGAAGAATTTATGTCACTAATGCAATTTTCTACATTGAAGAGATTCAGAGTTATAATGCTATGCATGAGTGAATTCAAAGTTGAGAATCTCAGGAATCACCTTTGGTATAAGGAATTAGAATCCAATTTTATCACTTCTTACCAGGATAATCATTGCACTTGTCACTCTTGTGTATTGGGTTCAACTCTCAATCCATCAGTGCAATAAGACTACCATAAGCTTGATCTTATTCTCAAGTTCCTAAAGATGAGGAACATGTAAAACATGCACAATTAGATCCAAAGGTCTTTGCAGGGTTGTAACTTGGCTTAGGCTAGGGTCAGAATATCTGGGAAAGTGGCTCATTTTCACTGTATATGAGATTGAAACACAACGCTTTATTTTCAGTTGTTCACACTCAGACACAATTTCACTTAGTCTTTTCCTTTCTATTCATACTTTTCTTTTTCTTCTTGACCTTTTCATGCTTTGCTGTTGCTTAGCTACTTTTCATTTTGTTTTTTTTCTCTTTGGTCCCAACTTTTGCTTTCACTATCACTTTATTTCAGTGAAATTGTTCCTTAAATACCTATAATTAGTGCTTCAATCTCATCCAAGGTGTGTTGATAGGAATTAAGCTAAGAGTCTTATGGTTAAATTCAACAAGAAACAACAGGCTAAGGCTCAAAGGGTTAGCAATGAATTTTTTTTTTTTTTCGGGTCAGCTATTTGGCCAATGAGTTAACAAGAAAGAATTGCCTTTATCATTTCAGATCATGCATGTATTACAGAGAAACAGATCAAGTTCTAGAGTATTATCACAGTGGGGCCTCTCTAAAAAAAATTACTGTATAGGCTCAAACCTCACGGCTGTGAAATCAAACTAGAATCGAAATTCCATTATCATCACATATCAACTGTAACTCTCAACAAATAATTCAATCAAACGAGCAATAACAACTCTTATACTTCAATGTATTACTCAAAACATTTATCCATTATGACTTCTCACATAGTATCTTATATGCTCTCTAAGATTTAATCATCTTATTGCATGAGTAGCTAACACATATCCAGGTATGTTGCTCAGAGAATTTCTTCTATCAAAACCAAATATCAAAACAAAAACAAAAATATCAATAGAAAATGAGACAAAAGGTTCGGATATCTCTCCTGATTCAGAAAATTTTTCTGTTGGAGGTCATTTCTGTCTAGTTCCGCTGTACTGCATGTGGTGCGCCCAATTCCCAGATTTAAAACATTGCTGTCCCCAGCAATAAAAACTAAACTAGGCAAAGAATAAGAAATTATGCGCAGGTAACACACTCATACTGGTTAAAGCATCAAGTCAACATATATCAAAAGATATCTAAACATCATAACATCTCAATTGTCTCCACACAAAACAGGAATGTAAAAACATAATCAAAATAACAAATAACAAAAAAATAAATAAATAAATAAAAATAAATAAATTGAAAAGGACTGACTCAACACTCTTGGGTTGCCTCCCAAGAAGCGCTTGTTTAACGTCACGAGCCTGATGTACCTCTTGTGATTTATGGTGGTTGGAAGCACGCTACCTTTGATGACCTAGTCTTCTTGGTCCAGTATTGTTTCCTTCCATGATCATATGCATGTGGATGAGGAGGAGGGTTCTCAAGAACTTTAAACTTAGTTTCCACATGTTTTTCCTTGCTCTTGGGCTCTCCCATCTTCACCATTGGCTTGCTTCCTTCATGCCATTGATGAACTTCCTTCTTGTTCCCTTCCTCAGCCTTTTTCTCTGCAATGTAATTGACTTGATTCTTAGGTTGAGACACAAGCAATGGAGGAGCTTCATTTATGAGTACCTTGAATGTTGCTTGCTCTCCATCCACGCGCATTATCAATTCACCCTTAGGTACATCGATTAACGCTCCTGAGGTTGCTAAGAATGGCCTCCCGAAGATCATAGGCACACTGCATCTTCATCAATGTCAAGGATGACAAAATCATCAGGAATTAGAAATTTGTCTACCTTGACTAGCACATCTTCCACAATACTATGTGCTTGCTTTGTTGAGCGGTCGGCCAGTTGAACATTCATCCTAGTTGGCTTCACTTCATTAATTCCCAGCTTCTTCATCAGAGTTAATGGCATCACATTAATGCTAGCACCAAGATCGCATAAGACTCTCTACAGTCGTCTTGCCAATGGTGCATGGAATACTGAAGCTTCATGGATCCTTCAACTTTGGAGGCATGTTTTTCTCTAAGATTGCACTGCATTCCTCTGTTAGTGTAATCGGTTCATCCTCTGTGAGCTTCCTCTTCTTAGATAATGTTTCCTTCAGGAATTTGGCATATGAAGGCATTTGCTCTAGAGCTTCTGCAAAAGGAATATTAATCTGCAATTTCTTAAAAATATCTAAAAATTTAGAAAATTGCTTCCTTTGCTCATTTTGCTTGGGCCTCACTGGATATGGAAGTTTCTCAAAACGTGAGAAATCTCATTGCTTCTTTTGAACTGCAGGAGGTTGTTCTTTTGCTTTTTCTTTGCCTTCTTGAGTGTGCTCATTCTTTCCTGTAGAAGCTTCAACTTCCTCTTTTTCTAGCTCCTCACTTTTAGTAGTGATGGCATTGCAGTGCTCCCTTGGATTCACAATGGTATCACTAGGGATTGTTCCTTGACTCCTCTCAGCAAGTTGTCTTGAAAGTTGGCCTATTTGAGTCTCCAAGTTTCTGATGGATGCATCTTGATTCTTGTGGTAGGCTCTTGTCTCATTTATGTGATCATTAGTGGTCTTGGAAAGCTGTATCTTCACTTTCTCCAATTCGAATGGCTCTTTATGTGGAAGAAGAGGAGGTTGCAGATAATTGTTGGAGTTGTAATCCAGACCTCCACCTTGATTTCTCCTCTGAAAGTTGTTCCCTTGGCCGCCATTCTGATTCCTCTGGTAACTTTGGGTATTCTGTGGTGTCCTTGGGTCATACCAAATTCCGATGACCTGGAATGGTTCAGCTCTATTAAGTGTAGGGCATTCATTAGTATCATGTGGCTCCTTGCAGTACTCACAGTTAAATACATTAACTTTAGATGTTGAGATCTGCATCTTGTCGAGCTTGGCATTCAGACTGGCTAGCTGTTGAGAGATTACTTTTTTCTTAGCTAGTGACGCATCATTGTTCCCCAGTTGTAAGATTCCCCTCTTGGATTGAACTGGCTGAACTTCCATTGAAGCATTATCGGTTCTCGCCATGTAATGAATCAGTTCCAGAGTTTCAGCTGTTGTCTTCCTTCCTATGGTTCCACCGGCTGCACCATTGACAATCATCCTGGTATCTGGTATCATCCCATTGTAAAAGACTCTGACCTTCTTCTCATCTGGAAAGTCATATTGAGGACACTTTCTGATCAGTTCTTGGAATCTGGCCCAAGATGTACAGAGAGTCTCTCCCGGCTGCTGAATGAAGTTGGTGATCTCGTTCACCAACTTGTTGTACTTTTCCCGAGAAAAATGCTCAGCAAAGAACTTAGCTGCTAGATCGTCCCATGTTCGGATAATGTTAGGGGCTTGTCGGTCTAGCCATCTGAGGGTTTTTCCGGTTAAGGCAAAAGGAAACAGCCTGAGTCTTATTTCATCGTCAGACACTCCATGCTGCTTGGTGGTGTCACAGATTCTCAGAAATCTGTCCATGAAGTCGTGAGGATCTTCGTAATCCTCTCCGCCGAAAGGGTTCTTCTCCACCAGGTTAATCAGAGACGGGTTGATGTCAAAATTGTTGGCCTCTATCTGTGAACATAGGAGCCAGAATTGACTCCATCAACTCTGATGCAAGAGGTGGATGAAGAGGTTGATTATTAGCAGCCATCACTGATTCTTTGCGTGGCTTAGAACTTGTAGATCCTTCTTGCTTTCTTTGCTTGGCTCGTTTTCGATTTTCCTTTGCAGTTTTCTCGATTTCTGGATCAAACTATAAAGAATCTCGATCTACTTTACATCGCATAAACTGCAGCAAAAAGATTAGTAACAAAACAGAATCCAATCAAGAAATTCAAAAGTTAAAAATAAATTAGGCGTAGTCAATCCCCGGCAACGGCGCCAAAAACTTGTTGCGTAAAATCGGCTAGTGCACCGATCGTACCAAGTAATAAAAGATGAGTAAGAATATCGTCCCACGAGGATTAAGGCACCAAATTTAATTTAACTATCCCTTTCTTATTGGATGAACAAAAGTTGGTTTTTGAGAGTAATTGTGTTTGTAACAATTGTGAACTATTCAATATTTTGTGAACAATTCAGAGAGAAAATTGAAAACTTAGAATAAAAGGTTGAGATTTGAGAAAAATATTTAAAAAGCTATTGCAGTAAAGGACGCCAACACCTTTCTGATCCCCACCTTGTAATATTAATTAATGTTACATTTAATTATCCAATTGATCAAACAATTCACCATCTATTAATTAATTAGTTAAGCCCTAATCCCTTAGTGATTTAACTTTATTAACCCTATTAGAATCCTAATCCCTTAGAAATCCTTTTTCAAGTTAATCATTTAACCCACTGAATTTTCCACGTTTGCAGTTCATGTAGCCTATCCCTAGTGCATACATGAACTGTTATTTTACCCTTTGTCAGGAACTAGAATCCCAATATTCCTATTGAAAACCCTAACCCTCGCAATCCTAATAGAGTGATCAATTCTAAAAGAATTATTGATGAAGAACAGGATAAAATAAATGCAATTCAAATAATTAAATATAAATTTAACCAAACTACAAGGGGTTCACATCAAGGGTTGTGACCCTTACCACAATAATAAAAGACTAGCCAGACATATTCATGTCTGACAATTCAAAATATTCAAAAGAATTCATAAAACAAAAGAATAACCGAAAGAATTGAGAAGAAGAAATCTTGATCTTCAGTCACGGAAAGCTTGCTCCGATTCCTGTTGCTCGCAATTTCTCCCGTGCAAAAGTTGTCTTCTTTAGTTTCTGACACCCTTTTTATAATCCGCAATCCAATCAGGTCATAATCTTCAGAGATTTGATCTTTTTCTTTCCGTTTCTATTTAAATTTTCAATCACGGAATTTTAAGATTCAAAAACCGACGCCCGACGCGCTTAACGCCAATTTCACGCGATTCGCGCAGGCGATTAATGAGGATTCCTGAACTTGACGCGACTAGCGTGGAATTCACGCTATTAGCGTGGAATTCACGCTATTAGCGTGAAGAAACAGTGAGTAATGCAATGTCGGCGCGATTTGCTTGATTTTCCACGCTAGTAGCGTGATATTCAAGCCATTAGCGTGAGGTTCTTTCAAATCTCACGCCATTAGCGTGAGATTCAAGCCTTTAGCGTGAGAATGCAGTGGCCGACATTTTTCCTCAGTTTGGAAGCCATTAGCGTGGAATTCACGCCACTTGCTTGAAGAATAATTGGTCATGACGCGATACGCGCCGATCTCTCGCTTTCCTCCTATAAAAACATAAAATCGGAGTGAAAGTGTGGCTAAGATGGATTGTCAATAATTCATTAAAAATAATACTTTTATCATTGAATTACTGTTAAATCCTTATTCTTTTTACGCCAAAATATCTATATGCAGAAGGCACATCATTTACCTCCACAAAAGTCCACCAAAAGGTTGGTATTTGGGAAATACCCGATCTAAGGATTTGTTGTTTGATATTTTGGGACAATTGTACCCTTCATTTGTGACAGCTAATCTTCATAACTAGTCTCTCTTTCTTCATCAGAAAAGGTCATGGATCTTCTACTGTGAGCACCTGGTGTTGAAACCAAAAGCACTTCTACTAAACTCATCCGAAATCGGAAGCCATTTTCTTCTAAGGGAAAAACCTGATCTCCAGTGAGTTTTCTTGTCTCAGGCATCGCGAGTTGTCTCCATTGTTTGTGTTTGTGATTTATATGGGGTTATTTTTATTTTCAAACCTTATTTGTAAAACTTTCGTATTTTGTGCTCTCTTTGGGTTGATGGTTATTTTGAGCGTACTTTGGCTCCTACGCCCAACGCTCTGAGTTGCTATAACCTTGTTGATGAGTTAACATGATTTTTGAAGTCAATCTTCCCTTTCACCTCATTTTCTCACTGCCTGTCTCCTTTATTCGAAGTGTAATTTGTACAAATCTAAAATGAAGGGGGTTTAGCTACTGGGTGTTGTTGGTGACCTTATTTAATTTTATTAAAAAAAAAATCATTTTTTTTATAAAGTAATTCATTATTTTTTTGTTGATCTATATTTAATTTATGTACTGGGTATGAGTGTTGGGCATGTATTGCATTTTTTTTTTTAGAACATTAGCTCTGTACCTGTATGTCATTGTAGAACAATGATTCACAGTCATTGTCTTGTCTTTTGTTTTGTTGGCTACGCAATCCATCCCCACTGGTTCCAAAACAATGGTCGAGTTCCCCCCATCCTTTTTTTATTTAAAATTTATACTGATTCACAGCGTTTGTGATTATTACAAATTGAAGTTAATTATTGCATGTTTGAAGCTTGACTTGTGTGTTAGCAAAGGTATTTTATGGTAACCTTAGGCCTACAAAGATGGTAACCTTAATTAATGGATTAACCCCTGTATGTACTGTACTCACTCATCATATCTTGGAAAAAAATGTGGGTATTGCATCTGTTGGAGATTTACTCATTTTTAATGTTCCTTATTTTGATCTGTTTGTTTAATTTTATTTATTTTTTGGATTCACGGTGTTACTATATTTTATATGTTGTGTATATTTTAGTGTTGTTAACCATATATTGTTGCATGGATTAACTTTTATCATTTTTGTGTTAGATTATGGCGATGAATGCAGAAACAGAGTGAATTATAATCGTGGTACTCATTACTCATTTGGAGTGTTTGAATCGAATTACTTTGTTCTTGATGGGTGTATGTGCTCTGCTATTAGACAAGTTTGACAAAAAGGAGAATTAGTAGGAAGAGAGTTAAATGGGATTTTCATAGTAGGTCTAGGATAAAGGAAGTCAATTTACAAAGAATAGTTTATATTAGTGACACTGCTTGTAATGAGAATACAAGAATGGACAGGATGTGCTTTTATAAATTGTGTGAGTTACTAAAAAAGGTTGGGATGCTTCAACCGACTAAGCACATGGGTGTAGAAGAGCTCGTTGCCATATTCCTTCATATTTTAGCCCATGATGTTAAGAATAGGATAATTAAAAGATAATTCATGAGGTCTGGGGAAACCATAAGTAGACAATTCACAAAGGTTTTGCATGCTATTTTAAGATGTTATACTGTTTTACTGAAACGACCTGAGCCGGTCCCTGAAAATTCAATTGATGACAAATGAAAATGGTTCGAGGTAACATAGGAGGGTACATTATGTTCATTTCGTAATCATGACAAGAGAATACTAATATTTTTGTCTCTTCATTATTACTTTTACTTTGAGTTATAGAATTGTCTAGGAGCTCTAGACGAGACAGACATCAAGATAAATGCCCTACAAGCTGATAAGCCTAGATATCGGACTAGGAAGGGTGAAATAGCAACCAATGTATTAAGAGTTTGTTCTCAAGATTGTCAATTTATTTATGTATTTTCTGGATCGGAAGGATTAGTTGTAGATTCAAGGGTCCTCAGAGATTTCATATCTCTTACAAATGGTTAAAGGGTGCCCAAAGGTATTTGAAATATATTAATGTGTTCCCAATTTACATATAGTGTACATATGAAGTTTATTAAATTGTGTCTAAAGTGTTGGAAATCATTTTATTAGGGTTCTATTATTTATGTGACCCTGGTTACATAAATGGGGAAGGATTCCTTACACCCTATAGAGGCCAAAGATATCATCTTTCTGAGTGGAGACATGGAGCACAACCAACCTCACCAAAGGAATTTTTTATCATGAAACACTCTTCTGCTAGGAACGTCATAGAGCGTTGTTTTGGGATGCTGAAGGGGCGTTGGGCCATTCTAAGATCAAAGTCATATTACCCTGTTAAAACACAAATCAAGATTATAACCGCTTGTTGCTTGCTTCATAACCATATAAGAAGAGAAATGACATTTGATCCTTTCGAAGTCAATGTTGTGGACACGCAAGAAGCTCAAGATGATTTTGAAGACACTGAGTTGATAACTCACATAGAGGCCTCTACTGCATGGACAGTTTGGAGGGATAATGTGGCCACGCAGATGTTTGATTCGGGTGTTTATGTTGTGATAGTTGTAATGTTTATAATTTTATATTGTCCTATTTTGGATTAAATGACAAGAATCATTTTTGTTTAACTATGTAATAGTTGCAATGTTTATTTTTTTTAATCTAGTTTTAGTTTGGATTATATGACAATGACAATTTTCGTTTTACAATATATTAATAACTAATATGCAGGTTAATATCTTTGTGTGATAGTTGCTTTTAATTGGTAATTCTTTTATGTCTTTTCCCCCCTACATATCTAGATATAGCCACTTAGCATTGCAAATGGCCGAAGACAGTCAACCATCAAGGAAAAGAATCAATCATACCTGGTCAGGGGAAGAGGACAAAATACTAGTAGAATGTCTGCTTGAAATCGGTGAACTGTGGAAAGGAGATAATGGTTTCGGCCCTGGATTTGCAACTCAATTGGAGAAGATGATGGGTGACAGGATACCTGAATGTACTTTGAAAGGTACTCCTTATATCACATCAAGATTTAAACTGTTAAAGAGGCACTGAAATGCCATCTGTGAAATGATTGGACCAATTGGAGGCAGTGGCTTCGGTTGGAACGATAAAGATAAAATGATAGCTGTTGAAAAGGAAATTTGCAATGAATGGGTTAAGGTAAGTCAAAATGTTAATGGTATGTGTTCAATTCTTTCATTTGATTTTATTGGCATCTCTGAATTAGTTTATACAATATGAAATACGTCAATATTTTTCAGACCCACCCAAATGCTAGAGGCCTTGACATGAAGCCATTCCCTCACTTTGATCAATTAGGACCAATATTTGGGAAAGACGTTGCAACTGGGAATGATTCAGAGGGACCACAAGATGCTGTGGATGAAATGGAGAAAGAAGTGGTTGCTGCTGCTGAGAGTGGGATTGGAGCAGATTACATCTTTGAGTGGTTGGGTGACACAACGCAAACATCTCATTATGACACAACAGTTATGGATAGTGCCACTCAAGATGCACCACCACAGTCCCCTGTGTCAACCTCTGTTGCTAAAAAAGGCAAGAAACGGGGAAGATCTGATGAAGATGTGGTGGTTTTTGTTGCTAGTGCTATGAAGGATCTAAACCAGAATTACAAAAATTGTAATGAGAAGATCAGTAAGTTGGTTTCTTGTTTTAAATATCAAGCTGAGGATCTAGACACAAGGAAATCAATTCTTGAAGAATTGAAAAAGATTGAAGGCTAGAGTGTGCCTCAAAGGGTTCACGTTGCTATGATCATGGGTAGGGACAACAGCATAACTGATATTTTCATGGCAGGTTCACAAGAAGAGAGAGAGGCAGTGGTGGCTTCTTTGTTGGGAATTCATTAATACTGCATGACCACCAATCTTTTTGGAAGCCTATTGATATATATGGCTCGTTATGGTAACCTTGGATCAATTTTTTGATAATGTATTGTTCGTCCTACTAACATGATCTGATGTTAATATTTTTTGAAAGCAACAATCCATGTTGTTAACTCTGTCCAGATATGGATGATTGTACTCATATGATGTAAATCTTCATGTATATTTTGTTAATCTTGTTTGTAAGCTCATAACCATATTGTAAGCTCTGTCCATGTATGGATGATTGTACTCATATGAGATGAATGTTTATGTATATTATGGATCTTAAACTGTCCTAAGTTATGGAATAGATGGATGTATATGCCATGCATTTATTAATATGCTGAATTATGTTATAGGTTATGACAATGTCACTCTGTTTGCACGAATGTGCACTTGTTCAAACATCCGCAAATGATATTGAGTTGGTGGTTTACAGGGAAGTTCCTTAAACATTGAGATGTATGAGTACAATTTTTTTTAAAAAGCTAGTGCTAATGAGTTGCATTGTGGTTTATCAGATTGCAGATGATGGATAATGTAGCAAGTGGAAGGAAAGAAATTAGTCTAATTCCCTAATGTTGGTTTGTATATGATAATGCAGCATTTGATGGTTTGCAGATAATGGATGATGCTTTAAATGCAGCTTTGTGGATCAAGAATAAAAAGGGTTGTATCTTACTTTCCTAATGTTTCAGAAACAATAAGTGATAGGATTGCCATATGATTATGTCACAGCAAAGGCACATTATGATATTCATAATGATTAACAATGTAATGGGTAACCACCAACTCTATGGATTGGTATGTTGTGCTGTAGCTATAAAATTAGTCCTGATTGCACGAGTATATCTTAAATGATTAACAATGTAATAGAAACAATTTGATGTAATGTCTTTATACGTATGATACAATGATCTTGTTAAATGATTTCTTGCAAAAAATTTCATTAACCTGGTTATTTATTTCCGACCAGGACCTTTCCTAGCAACCTCTATCTATCATCAGTACATGCATAATGGTCAGTTTTTGGCACAAAGTTGTGCACTTCACTCCATTAAGTTATTGATGCTTGAATTGATTATGTCATAGAAAAATTGTCTAGTAACTGATTATTTCTTCACGAAACTAGGTGAATAATCACCCACGTAATTTTTTATTGGAAGAGGAATGAAAAACATGGATGGGATCTGGGAATATGAAATGAGTAAATAGTTCCACAAAGAGAAACTAGACATCAGTTTAATTCAACCTTTTATGGTTGTCTTTTATTATTTTCAAATATTTGAGTTACAGAAAGAAAAAAACCTAAAAGTAATCTCGACAAAATCAATTAGTCCCATATATGCGTGTGATACATCAACTCCCTTGAAATCAATTAGGTCCTATTTATGGTAGACAAATCTGCAAAAAGTTTCCACTACTAGTATGGATTCAGAATCCCCGTTTATCATTGCTTCCTCCCATATCAATAAATGAAGCTGTTTTCCAGTAAAATGGTGCTTGAGACCAGGCTACTGTGCACATCTGAACTGCAGTGCAGATTTGGAGGTGGTTTAATTTCCCTCTATTACAAACAACACTTTTTCCTGCTCTAGAACCATGGCACTTGAATTGGGAAGACTCGTCTAATGCTTCATAATCATGCCAATGAGAATTGGACCGTGAACCAATTCCATGTGCATCAACATATGCTCTGGTTAGAAACAGCAAGGCAGAAAGCTAAGTTTATTTTTTTAAAGACACACATATATAATAAGCACCCTAGTTTTTTTGTCCAGTTTAATATAAACAGTGATTAATAAATATGGAATGTATAATTAGCTCCAAAAGTACTGCTTAGGCCCGCAGGGCCAAAGTGAACTTCAATTAAACAATCACTTTACTTCTCACAAAGCACCAAACTTCATCAGTACAAGCTGTATATATAAGATATGTATAAAAGGTTTCCAGATCTATGTTCTGGATATTGTATCATTCATTTAGATATAAACAGTATACAGTGTATAATTATATAGAATAAAATGTTTTCATCTAAATGCTACCAAATAAATGAAGGCATCTTTTTAATCATTAAGATTTTAATAAATAGAAACCAGTGATTCTCCATATTAGCCTAAGAAGTAAAGCAAAGTTCATTTTGTTGTTGATATAATCTACTCAAAGGCAATGAACTATAGCCTGGGAAATAATGCATGTTTCATTATGAAATTACAAAAAAATGCTAGAAAATACAACAAAATGGTAAAAGGATATCTTCTGTTTGTTCCATCAGTGACCAGTAGATCCCTGACTTGCTCATTATAAATCTCAATCATTTGAACAGAAACATCATAGTGGAAAGTGTCCTTTCTTTGATCTGCTAAATCAAACAGATCACTGAGAGCCCTATAATTTACATCTTGGCTTTTCTCTATGATCTCTTTTGGTCCAGTCTACATATAAACAACACAAATCAGTAAAAGGTCATTAAAAATTTCAATTTCTTTTTTCAAAGAAAACTTCAATTGGATACTACCATAGTGTAAGTTTTTCCTGATCCAGTTTGTCCATATGCAAACATTATAACCATCGAGGAAAACAGATCTAATAAGTGGTTGTATATCAAAGAAGACCTCTGCTGCAGCACATGAGAGATAATTTCAATCATAGTATAAAATATAAATCCTGGAGATAATTGAATCTGAAAACCAAACTAGCCTTGGGTTGCAGATGGTCCAAAGACTTTGTTGAAGTTGAAGGATCTGCGTTCCTTCCCATTCTTTGAAGGAATGTTAATTGTGATACTTCTATCTTCAATATTTTCTACTGTGCTCAAATGGTTTGGTCGTTCAAGAAAGAAGGGTCTTACTCGACAGTACACCCTAATACTTCCTTATTAGGGGTGTAAATGGATCAGGCCGGCCTACAGGGACCTATGGCCTGGCCTATGTAAAGCCTGGCCCGGCCCGATCTTCGAGGTAAATAGGACAGGTGAAGGCTTGTAGGTTAGCCGGTTTAAAAACAATGCTACGCCAGATATAAAAAGCCTGGCCTTTTGGCCTGCCTGTTTAAACTTTTAAATAAAAAATATATATATAATACTATTTATATTTTAAAAATTACAAAACATAATTGCTTTCTTTTGGTATGCGCCACAGCTTCTACCATCAGATCTCACAACTCACGAGTCTCATCGCCCAAACGAGCAAGCTTTTGTCCCTCACCTCCGGTCACTCATTTATTCTCACCGCCGGTCATCCATCTATTCTCACCGTCGGTCACTCATCTATCAAGGTTAACAATTTACAAACCCTAACCCACAAACCATGTCTCTGTCAGTATGTCCCTTCTTCTGCGATTTTCATGAACTAATCTATTGCATTTTTTATGTTGATGCAGAAGTGGTTTGGCTTTCAATCTGCATCCAAAGAAGAACCAGGTACTCTCATTTTTCTTTCGTGAACTTTTTAGATTTTGCGAAGGTGATGTTATTTTGGATTTGCTACTGAGTTTACTAATAGAGTGTTGAAGCTTAATGAGTTTTAACCAGGTAGTCACAGATGCAGAGAACATTATGTTATGAATTTTAAATTTTCTTGTCCCCTATTACAAATTTTTTTGTCTCTGCCATCTGCTCGAGGAGGAATGTGACCTTAGTATTCTTGAGCACATGGTTTTTCATGGTTTTTCGTTATTATTTTTTATTATTATAATGATTATAATAATAAATTGATTGACTCCATTTTTCTTTAACAAAAGTGCTTGTAGTATGCTTGAGTGTGAGTGAATTATTTGAGAGAGAAAAGATAATTTGATTTATGAGAGAAAAAAATCATGTGGTAACATAACTAAACTATTTCTACACACAGCCACCGGTGATTTGGTGTGCTGTTTCGTTTAAAGATGAATCCAAAAGATCGCCCCCTTAGATGGCCATTTCATGCGTTACAAGTGGTTCGTTGCTTTTTTTCGATATTTGTTTTCTTCTTTGCTTAAGAAATTGGTTATCTTCGAGTTTATGAGTGTTGGTTCTATTTTTTTTATGTTATTGAAAAGAAAAATGGGTGTTTTAGTTCAGATTTATGTAATTTGTATTTGAACATATGTGAATTGTAGTTCATGTATTCAGATTAGCTTGAAAGTATTTGTTTGTTTCATTCTTGGAAAATTAAATTCCTTTGCTCTATAATTCTAATGATTAAAAAAACTTTTTTCTAAGAGTGATTGATTTCTTGGAAGATTTCGGATGTTTTGTGTGATTGAGTCTTTACTGGGTTTGGCTCAGGTGAATAGATTTCTTTGAAGATCCGGATTTTCTTGCTGGTTCTGTTTTCTTTAGATTTGTAATCAACGCTTTCTTGGAAGGACACTGTCAGTGTCACTCAGATACATCTCCCTTGTCCCTAATTCAATTTTTGAGTTTTTGATTTCTTGGATTCTATCACTTTATGAGCTGCAGCTTCTGAGTTTTCACTTTTTTATTGCATAGCTTTGTGGAATTTGAAGTACCAAGTTTATTTTCTTTCTCCCTTGTGTTGTCTTCTGATAAAATTAATTTTACGTTGACTTATCTCAATTTGGATATGTCCAACACTGATCTATGTCTCTGGTTCAAAGATATTCCATGATCTGACGTGTTGCATATTGTCTATTAATGGCAGTATTGCAAAGTTTTTCCTTTCAATTAGTATCTATTATTTCGTGCGAGAGACTATAATAGACAATAACAGGTTCTGGATTGTCTATTAATGGCAATATTTTTCTTGGGCTTCTCTCTCTTTTTTCCTCACTCACTCTAATAACTTTATTTTGCAGGAGGATGATGTTCCACAGATTCAAAAAAGTGAAAGTATATCAAAGTAAAAGGAAGATAAGAAGGCTCACTAGAAGATTGTGAAGTGCCAAGAAAAATTCAATCTTTGTTGTTGTTAAAAAATCTGTTGTAGAATTTGTTGTAGAATTTTTATAACGTGTTCTTGACTTCTTGTTAAAAAATTTGTTGTAGAATTTTTATAATTTGGACCATGCTGGAAGTATTGTGTAATGAATGAGATATTTTATTTTTATTTATTTATTTAATTTGCAATATGTAGGCCTAAAATGCCTCATAGGCCATGTAGGCATTTTATTTTTAAATAACAGGGCAGACTTAGCCTTTAAACTAAGCTTTTGATAGGATCATAGGCTAGATAGGCTCAATATTTTTTTGTGTAGGCATAGGCCATGAAGGCTAAAGCCTGCCCTGCCCTGGCCTATTTACACCCATACTTCCTGATCAAACAAATTACCCACCTTAACCAAGTTTTAGGATTAAAAAAACCTTATAAAGACGTGAATGGGAGAATTAGGCATAAAGCAAACAGCCACAACCAGTAATCTTATTACCCTTAAGATCCTGGACTTGATTGTATAGTTTTTTATTGTCTTTAAGAACTCTATGATATCCAGAAGTAGCATGAGTTAAGCCATGAATGTGCATGACTACAAAGAAAAATAAAAAAGTTAAATAAGATGCAGTACCCATCACAAGGCAACAAAGAAATGGGGGTACAATAGAGTAAAGAACTTAAAATGAATGAATCACATATCCTTACGAAGATTGTAGAACTCCTCATGAAATTTTATTTGCGTGAACTATATACCAGCCTTTCAAAAGAAACCAAGCCTAACCTTTCTCTATTAAGACGGTAAAGAAGGAATGCCAAACATATGGAAAATGAAACTTCAAGAGTCAAAAAAGGAGAGTATACAAAGTCATACAGAAAAACATGATGGCACATCCAATAGTTGGAAGCCCAACCCCATCACATCAAGCTGTCTATGAAAATTTGCAAAAGTATCCCCCTTTGACATGCACAAGTGAACCTAAACATAAGGCAATGCTATATTACACAGGTGAAGTTATATCAAGAAACATTAGCATCTCGACAAAATAATTATAACATAATCTGAAGAACCAGAGGTAACATGATATCCCGAAGCTCCACAACGTAAGCCAATAAAATATAGTACTTATATGCCTATGAAGTAACAAAAGAGTTCAAAGTAATATACTAATATTATGCCGTTGAATCTATAAACAGTTGGAAATAGATCTTTCATTGACAGATCAAAACTAATATCAACAGTTGAATCTATAAATCGGGTAACAACATGACTTGTTATGCTCAACCTAAACTTTGATGCTAGCTCATGGCCAATATATAGCCCAAGGTATAACCTCCAAGTACACATATCTTCAGTCAATGCCTCTTACTAAGCAATAAGCATAACAATAAATAAAAAAATCATTTATGTTTATTTAATAAAAAAAGGTAACAGAAGGGAACAGACCAATAAGACTTACCTCAGAATGTTACAAACAGAGGATGGCAGCCCACCTACAAAGATGCGGTCAAGTCCTTCAGTTCTCCCAATTGCACTGGAAACAAATCCAAAATGGTTAGAATAGAGGAACAACTTTGAACATCATGTAAAATCTACATAAAATATGTACATCCGCATCAAACTACATGGTCAACTTACCCCACAGAAAGTTCAACAGCAGACAAGTTATGGTATGGACTTGATGGCGGGGACCTAGAGCTACAGCTTAATTGATATGTGGAACCTACAACACTTACAAGCATATAGAGAAAATAAGTTTTACAGAAAAAATATTGAATGGTCTTGTAGATTGTCGCTAGATCAAACAAAGAAGAGGCTTACAAGCATCCATTTGACAACAATATGAAATGGCAAGCACTAATATGCCAAACAAGACGACACATACACATAAACCACTATGCATACTACACATCAAAAGGTTCAACAACATTACAAACATACATTGTATTAGAACTTCGTAATGCACAAAATTAAGCATATCATTCACTTACAGCATCATCAACACTTTTACATATTATATAATACAATCCCAAGTAGTATAATAAGTACAATCACCAACGCCACCAATAGTTTGAGCAAAAACAACAGATTTTTCAACAAAATGTCCTTCTGGATGCAGTTAAAGCAAGTGGGTTCATCTAGCCACTGAAAGAATTTACACACCTCCCTTGTTCTATAATTGGGGCATTCGAAGAACATCCTTCCTGGATTCGCGTTTGTTCGTGACTTCCGCAACACCGTCGTCACTCCACAGTCGCACGTCTTCAACTTCGATGTGGATGAAGTTGCAGAATTGCCGGAATTTTCACTTTGACACCAACCTTTGTCATTGTCATCTCCACCCATGCTTTCTCAATGATTGAAGGACTTCTATTTTACTTGATGCTTCATCACAATGTACACAGGTCAGAAAATATATCCAAAAAGCACGTGGTAAAAAAACCCCATTTATGTCAAAAGCTTACGCACACCCAATCGTTAAAATTTTCAAACACCAATCCAACATAAAAAAAACGTTTGTATAAACATGCTGGCAATTTAAAAATGGAATACAAAGATACAATGAAGCCCTGTATTTGGAAGTACCAAGCACCCCTGTCATTTTTTAGGGCTATTAATCCACAAAAAGTAAAAAACAAACCTCGACAATTTCTGACCTTTCCAACCGTAATGAAGCGCTTCGGAGTGAAAATGAAACTTGTTTGCATATGATTTTTTTATTCCACTGGAAAAACAAAAAATGACACTATAACACACACTAACTCCATATTGATGAAAGAACGTTGCAAACGAAAGAGACACCAAAAAATGGGGTTATGGGAACACACAACAAACTTACCAGGAGGATGAAGTCCAGTACACCACTCACGATCTATGAATATTCAAGACGAATGCTGATACAATGGTCGAAGAGTTCACCCAGAAGAAATACTCTTTTTCGCACAATGGTGTTTTTGTTTCTAAATCATGTCCACATAGTTAAGTTACGAGGTCATTTTCGTAAAAATCTCTCGTATTCCCACCAATATTTTATCATCGACCAAACAACACCTCAGCAAAATTAACCAAAATTCTCGGTAATATTTTCGCCTACCAATAGCTTTTTGATAACATTACCGGGAAACTAATATTCTAACTATATTCCCAATAATCATGATTCTCGAGTAAAAACAAATTCTCTTTTACCAAACGCCGCCTTAAGGAATTGTGGTTGTTTTCTAGCGCTGATGGTGCCAGTGTGGAGCCATAAGTGTGGCCAAACATAAGCAACTAAAATCATGATGTTGTCAACGCCATACTCGCGCTAATTGCACAGTAACCCTGTGACTAACTTAGACTTTTTAAAAATATTCATACCTGTTGGGTTTAGGGCCCTAGACTACGGCATGCACATACCATCTCTGCTTAAAATTAAAAGTTAAAATATCTACTGCAAAGTAAACTTAATTAAATCAAAGAAAACACACAAAAGAAAAATTATCTTGGGTTGCCTCCCAATGATTGTTTGTTTTACATCTCGAGCCTGACGTGAATAGCCTAAGCATCGTGTGAGCCAAGAGGGACATATCTTTTGTCCCTGTTAATTTGTCCTCTATGGTATAACTTCAAAGTACAACCATTAACCTTTAAAGGATTATAAGCAATGTTATAGTTTTAAGATTATCTTTTGTCCCTGTTAATTTGTCCTCCATGGTATAACTTTAACCATTAACCTCCAAGGTATATGATTATAGTTTTAAGAATGGCGTTCTTAGAGATATTATGATCAGAAATGTTATTCTCTGGTATTTTTAAAAACTTATTTGGTTAGTATTATTGTTTTTTTAAATAAAATTTAAATGGAGAAAGAAATAAGTGGGAGTAGTTGTTATTAGTGATTTATAAAATAACTTCCATTTTCATGGAAAAGAAACATAACCCACCCCTCATTATGATTTATGAGGATAAACATCAAGCAAAACACGAATCGATAATGTTTAATTTTTTTTTAAAGATTTGTACCAAATATAAAAATGTCATCTTTCAAATATATTTTTTTATAAATAACTCAATAATTGTTAAAACAAATACACCCTAAATTAATATTTCTACTCCCTCTGAAGACTGGTGTTCGGTCCTGGATAGACCGTATTACTATACCGTGTGGTATGCGCTCAGAGATAGTGTATATCAAATGTATACTAGGCTTATAGCCGAGGTCCCAATCACTGCGCACGAGCAATAGGCTTATAGCTAAGGGGTGGGTGTGTGCACAGTGTGGGCAGAAGTAATAAATGAGTTCTGAATCTTTACCTGGGGTCCTTAGGCTCTTATTTATAGGATTACCTTCCTAGGATTGTGCCTCTGAAATCCCCCAATTGTAGTAGGATTCCCCTCCTTCTGTTGGGGTGTGATCCTTATCTTATATCCTTTTAGTTGTTTGAGGTTGTTGAGATGTAGCTGATTCTATATCCCTCTGTATATTCTGGTAGGTAGTTGGGATATGATATTCATATCCATAACAGTTGCCCCCCAGCTCGGTATTTCGGGATCCGTGATGCCGAGGTTCCATGTTGTCGTCATGAGTTCGATTAATCCGAGTTTACTCTTCGACTTTGGATTTCTGAGACTTTGAAGTCGACACTTTTAGTTTGTTCGAGTCGTCAAGATTACGCTCACTATACTTCCCTGACGTTTGCACTTGAAGTCGAAGTTGACCATGTCGGATATTGCCCAAATTCTTTGCACTCATCTTTCATCACGCTGGTCGAGTTGTCGTATCGGAAAGTGACACCCAGGCGATACCTGATCACGGAACTTGGGGCTGGCCCTTATCCTGACCCTTCGCATTTGACCCTTCACATCGTGTCTGCAGTGACGGTTATGGCAATCCACGTGTTTTGCGCCCATTGGTAGTTCGTGCTTCGTGCAGAGCGTACTGCTTCAATTTTGCGCAGGTTATAATGGGGTGCCTTTAATGCTCCCAGGGTGAATTCCCTTTTTTGCCCCCTTCCTCACGTAACCGTTTGAAGAAAAAACTCTTCACCTTCGCGCCCAAGTCATTTGTCTCCCCTTTAAATATCATCTTCTCAACGGGTTCCAGACTTTACAGTTTTTCATGTGGTAAATTCTCGTGGAGCTCTCCTTACATCCAGTGAAGGTTTCTGTTCATTGAGTCTAGTTCTCACCATCTTTGCTCCTAAGCTCAGGTACCTTTCTGTTTATTTTGCTTTTATCAGTTGTTCCCTTTTTCGGTTGGGTTAGGTTGCATTGTGCGGTTTCTTTCATCTAAAACCAAAGGTGAGGTTTGTACTTTCCTCTTTGAAGTGTTGAGGGTTCATAATGAGTGCCCCTAGTTCTTCCTATGGTCCGGCATCCCAGCCAGGTGGCATGGGGGAGGAAGAGGCGGTGAGCCATTTACCTCGCTCTGTCCAGTATTGGTTCTTCGGCATAGAATACACCGAGGAGGAGAAGCTTCAACAGCTTCTCCGCGGTCCTCGTGGGGGCCTTCGTGGTTCTCGCGGAGGCCGAGGTAAGCCAGGTGAAGTGAATGCTCGATGGACACTCCTTCCGGGGTCTCAATGATCACCCCGGCTCCGCTCCCCTTGGAGTTGGACGACCCATCCACGTGTATTGTCCAGAAATCTTCATTTCCTTTTTCCTTTTCATTGGATGGGGTTAGCTTCAGGATGAAGTCGGCCAGCGCTTGGGACTTTATCGCCTGCCTGGGCTCATATGCAATGTCGAACTCTGAGAGTTCGACTGCCCAGTTTATCATTCTGCCAGCGAGGTCCGGTTTGTGGAGGACTTGCCTGATGGGCTGATTCGTGCGCACAATAACTCGGTGACTCTGAAAGTAAGGTCGGAGCTTCCTCGCCGTGGTAAGCAGTGCGAATGCGACTTTCTCGAGCTTCTGGTAATGAAGCTCAGGCCCTTGCAAGGCCCGACCCACAAAGTAGATCGGTTGTTGTGATTTGTCATTTTCTCGTACCAGGGCGGCACTGACGGCCTCTTCCCCAACTGATAAGTAAGATCAGCGTTTCTCCAGGCTCTGGTTTGGACAGTACAGGAGGAGTGGCCAGGCAACTTTTAATATTTTCGAATGCGTTCTTGCATTCTTCTCCCCATCCGAATTCAGCTTCCTTTTTGAGAAGCTTGAAGAAAGGCAAAGCTTTTTCCGCCGATTTGGGCAAGAATCTGGTTAGGGCCACAAGACGTCCAGTGAGTTGTTGAATTTCTTTTTTGCTTTCGGGCAGCTTCATTTCGAGCACGGCCCTACACTTGTCGGGGTTCACTTCTATTCCTCGGTTGGTAAGCATGAAGCCCAGGAACTTTACAGCTGGTACCCCAAAAGCGCATTTCGCCGGGTTCAGCCTGATCCTGTGAGCTCTCAGCTGCTCAAAAGTTTCCCTGAGGTCGTTTATATGTGCTGACATTTGCAACGACTTGACTATCATGTCGTCGATGTATACCTCAAGGTTTCTTCCAATCTGCCCTTGAAAAACGTGGTTCATCATCCGCTGATATGTCGCCCCTGCATTTTTGAGACCGAAAGGCATGACTTTGTAACAAAAGTTGCCCTTCTCGATGATGAAGGCGGTTTTCTCGTGGTCTTCGGGGTGTAGCGGAATTTGGTTGTACCCCAAGTACGCATCCATGAATGATAATAGCTGAAATCCTGACGAATTGTCAACTAACTGGTCAACGCTTGGCATGGGGTATGAGTCTTTTGGGCAGACCTTATTGAGGTCGATATAGTCCACACATATCCTCCATTTCCCACTTGGCTTTTTTACCATCACTACGTTAGACAGCCAAGTGGTATATTGTATTTCCCTCACGAATCCGGCTGCCAGAACTCGTCGACGTGCTCATTTAATGCCTGACGTCAGTCTGTCCCTATCTTCCTCTTCTTTTGGGATACTGGACGTGAACCGGGGTACATGGAGAGCTTGTGGCAGCAGAAGGTTGGGTCAATTCCAGGGATTTCTGAAGCTTTCCACGCAAAAACGTCTCGGTTTTCTTTTAACAAAGAAACCAGCTCCTCTTTGAATTCTGTGCTTAGGTCTTTTCCTACCTTGGTGCGTCCTTCACCGTCTTCTGCAATATCGGCATCCTCCAATTCTCCTTGGGGTTCAGGACGAGGTGCCAAGAGCTCCTCCCTTACGTCGAGTTCAACCAAGTTGACCTCTCTTCCGCACGTCTTCAGTGATTGGCCCTTGGTTCCTCCTCCTTTAAGCCGAGTTGGAGATGATGGACCTCCATGATGGACTCGTAGAGTCTCGTAGTAGCACTTTCTTGATTCTTCTTGATCACCTCTTATGGTGACGATCTCGTTGTTCATCCCAGGCATTTTCAATGCTTGGTGTTTGGTGGAGATCAGCATATCCCATTCATGGATTGTGGGCCGACCAATAATTACGTTGTAGGAAGACAAGGTGTCCACTACAACGAAACGACCCTACCAGATCGGAACGAATCCTTCGTGCCCAAGGTCATCTTTAGGTCGATGTAGCCTTTTGGAGGGGATGCCGCTCCGTTGAACCCGACCAGCTCAGTGACACATGGTTTCAAGTCCTTCTCGTCCAGGTTCATCCTCTGGAAAGCGTCCCAGAGAATTATGTCAGCTGAACTTCCGTGGTCAATAAAAATTCTCTTGACTGGGCAGTTGACTAGTACTCCGGTGATCACCAATCCGTCGGTGTGTCCGGGTACAACCATCGCTAGTTCCTCCTGAGTGAAGAACAGTCTTGGGGGAGCCGGCTTGCTGTCCTTTTCTTTGAATGTTGGCTTGTCCCTTACCGACATGACCTCTTTTAGGTATCTTCTCCTAGCGTTAGCCGAGTCTCCTCCTCCTCCTCCTAGGGCTCCACTTATCACGTTGCATCCGAACTCAGCTTCAGGAAAAGCGTCGTCCTTTTCATCGACCTCTTTGCCTTTGGAAGGTCGGTCTTTTCTTTGGTCCTTTCGATCCTCTCTCTTTGGGCTTCGACTCCGGCTTCGGCTACTTTGCTTGCGCTTATTATTTTTCTTGCCCTGTGTTCGGATGATATACTTCTTTAACTTTCCCTCCCTCACGTGTTTTTCAATTGCATCTCGGAGGTCCCAGCAATCATCCGTATAGTGACCATTTTGGTCATGGAATGCGCAGTATTTGCTTCTATCTAACCCGAACTTGGCTTTGAGAGGTCGAGGTCTCTCGACGTTGTGCATTTTGGTATGTGCTACCTCTTTCCATATCTTGGATCTGGCCATGCTCAAGGGTGTATAGTCGTCATACCTTCTCCTTAGTGATCGGTCTTCCGACCTTTTATCACGGCCGTCCTTTGCTTTTTTGGATGCCTTCTGGTCCTGGTCTTTGTTGTTTTTCCTACTCGGGCTCCGACGTGGAGGGCTTCATCCTCGTGACTCGACATAAGCCTTTTGCATGTCCTCCACGTCAATGTATTTGTCCGACCTCCTTTTGAACTCCTCCAGATCATTCACCGGGTTCTTATAGATGGATCTCGCCAATGGGGAGTCGCCATCCAATCCCGAAATGATTAAGTGGAGGTGTACTGCTTCAGTTAGCCCTCGTACCTTGAGGGCGGCGTCTTTGAACCGGTCGAGGTACTTCCTCAGCGATTCGTTCTCCTTCTGCCGGATTCTTCCCAAAGCATAGGCTGGCATCGGATGCACTTTGCTTGTTGCAAAGTTCAGTCGGAAAGTCCGAGCTAGGTCCTCGAATGAGTAGATGGAGTTCCTAGGGAGCCTGGTTATCCAGGTCATTGCTTGACCAGTCAGCGTTGTCGCAAAGATCCTGGCCTTAATAGGTCCAGTGATCCCGTTGAATAGCATCTCGGTTTTAAAAGCCTCCAAATGGGCCTCTGGGTCCTGACTTCCGTCGTATGGAGGTATCCTGGTGCTCTTGAATCTCGATGGTATGGCCAAATTCATGAGCCTCTCAGTGAACGGGCTATCATTAGCCTCCTCATCCTCCAGATAATTTTCGTCCTGGTAGTCGTTCGGGGCACCGCCATTCCGGTTGTTACCGAGGTTGAGGTTCTGCCCATTGTGCGTGTTTCCTTCGAGTGTGGCTGCGTTCTGTTGCCGAGGTGCTCCATCGCCAGGATTGCCGCGCCTTCTAGGTCGATCTCCAACGTTTTGATGCTGGAGGTCTTCAGCATTCAGATGTTGGATGCCTTCGGCGTTCTGATGTACGCGTTCGGCATGTTGCTGCGGAGGTCGGTCGTTTACGACCCCTCGGCTCCCCTAGTTTGGCCTTCCGCGTTCTAGGTTCTCAGTTCGGCCTCCAATGTCGCCATCCTTTGGGCATCCATGCGCTGCTGGGTCAGGAATCTGTTTTCCATCTCTTGCAACCTTTGAATGATTGCTCCCATGGCCATGTTTGTCACGTTTGGTGGCTCACTATGTGGAGGTGGACGAATCGTAGCAGTTGTTGTACTCGGCAGGGGTCTGGGAGTCGGTCCTTGTGTACGACCTCGCCGACCTGTACCTCTACTAGCACCGGGTTTGCTTCCAACTGGGGCTGTTCTGGTGCAGATTGATGTTGAGGCATGCCGTAAGGCTGAGACTGTGGTTGACGCGGCGGCATTTGGGATGTACCAAACGTCGAACGTGTGTTCGTCATCGTGGGGTGGGAGTTGAAATTTATAGTTCCCACAGACGGCGCCAATGTTCGGTCCTGGATAGACCGTATTGCTATACCGTGTGGTATGCGCTCAGAGATAGTGTATATCAAATGTATACTAGGCTTATAGCCGAGGTCCCAATCACTGCGCACGAGCAATAGGCTTATAGCCAAGGGGTGGGTGTGTGCACAGTGTGGGCAGAAGTAATAAATGAGTTCTGAATCTTTACCTGGGGTCCTTAGGCTCTTATTTATAGGATTACCTTCCTAGGATTGTGCCTCTGAAATCCCCCAATTGTAGTAGGATTCCCCTCCTTCTGTTGGGGTGTGATCTTTATCTTATATTCTTTTAGTTGTTTGAGGTTGTTGAGATGTAGCTGATTCTATATCCCTCTAGATATTCTAGTAGGTAATTGGGATATAATATTCATATCCATAACAACTGGCTTGATTGTCAGCTGAGGCTTGGGATGACGATGGTGTAGAAATTTAAAATAATTTAAACACAGTTGTTGTAAGTAAAACTTTCATATGTGGTTTGCACCAATCGGCTTTGGCCCAAGTATGAACCTAATTATCAGAATTCCTCTTATAAGTTCTGTTTTGGATTGGACTATCGGGCCTCTGCCTGGACCAATATCCATTCCCATTGTAATAACAAATAATAATAGTAGTAGTCGAAGTATCGTGTGTCTATATATCTATATATATATATAAAAGGTAAGGTTATATTTACAAACTTTTTGTTTACAAACAACAGTAAGTATAAGCGGTCATACTTCAATCAAGAGTGTATGATCGGTCATACTTAAAAAACTTTTTGTTTACAAACAACAGTAAGTATAAGCGGTCATACTTCAATCAAGAGTGTATGATCGGTCATACTTAATGTAATTTGTAAAAAAAATTATAAACGAATCATATATTGACTTTTTATATAAAATTGTGTGTTAATAATGAATTATTAGGAACCATAAAGACAAACATTAATTAGCATTGTAAATATAAACGGTGGTTATCATTAATTTTATTAATTATTAGTATTTATTGCTCTTACTATTTTAAGTCAGATCCCTACCGTTTTAGCGTTAAAAATACACCAATTAATTATAATTGAAGTTGATTATTTTACAGTATATTTCAAAGGAAATACATCATCTCATATTAAAATTTCACATAACAAGATCATGTGAACTTTTAAAATGAGAGGATCCACTCCCAATTTCAAATCCTTGACCATTTTAACATTAAATTGGTATCAAATAATTATTTTTTATATCAATTATTAGACTTCATTGTTTTTTATCATTCCAAATCACTAACCATTTAAGCATTAATATAAAGGGAAAAATATTTCTCCGGACACTAGAGATAAAGTTATCTCCAGTGAGTTCAAAACTACATCATTTTAAAATTATAAGATTAAAAAATTATAATGATAAAGATTAATATAACCCTGCAATATATTATAATTATAAAAATACCTTGATTTATGTCTCAAAACAACGTCATTTTGGGTTCACCGAAGATAACTTATCTTCGTTGACTTAAGAAATCCTTTACCGTAATATAAATTAATTGAGATTGATGGATTAATTATGATTATCAGTCCTATGGTTTAGCGCTTGAATAATATGGTTTATCAGTCCTATTTCAAATTTTATACTGTTTTAGCGCTTGAATAATATGGATTAGTTTTTAATTGGAATCAATTTGAGTTATTAGCAATTGGTGCTCTTACCGTTTCAAGCCCTTGTTATAAAAGGGCCCGTTGACAGAACGGAAAAGACAAAAAAAATCACCAAAAATTCCTGAACTCGCTTCAATTCTCTTTCTCTCTCCATCTATCATTCATTTCATTCTCCTTCTTCTTCTTGTCTCTCAGCTCTCCATGATTCTGTTGCAATGACAGTTCTCCTTCAGCTGCCAAATACACTTTTTTTTTTTTATAAAAGTGGAGGCCAAGTCCAGAAAACTAAACACTCAGATTATGCATATACAGACTCAATTGCTCCACAACCCCAAATACACTTTCCCTTGTGAGCTTCTCTTCTTCCATCAAAGCATATTCGTAAATTTGATATGTTGTATAAATTTGATTCTAAAAATTAAAAACAGTTATAATTTTTAGAATTATTTTTACAAAACAAACTTTATCAAATAAATTTTTTTATTTTTTCATTCTAAAAATAAAAAAATAAAAATTGAAAACATAATTCAAGCATCCCCTTAATTTCTCTCTTTGCTTAATTACTTTATGGGCCACTCTAACGACCCGAATTTAAAAATTAAAATAATTGAGTCACCATTAATTTTATTTACTTTGGAAAAATTAGAAAATCTTATATTACAAACTGGTCTTTAAAAAATTATAGATAAGGTTCCGGAGTCTAATTATGCGGGATGGAAACTTAATCTCACTGCACTTTTGACGTACCTCTCACACAAAGCTGTCACAACTAAAATAATCTAAAATGATAATGGTAGGATTAACAAGTTGTCTCAACTCAGACAATCCTTTATTATGAAAATTAAGTACATTTTATTTTAGCTTGACGGAAAGAATTCTGCTCCGACGTCTCCTCCGGTGCAATAAGGAATTCAAAGCTACGTCGTTCATAAAAAATATTTGCGTACTAGTTTGTTTTAATTTTTGAAATTAATTTTAAATTAATTAATTTTAAAAACTTCTGATTATCAAGTTGTCTCAACTAAAATATCCCAAAAAATACTACAAGATCAACAAGCTGTCACGGATAAATTAATTCTTAATTAGAAAAATAAATAAATTAATAAAAATATTAATTTAAAACTAGCTTAGGTCATCAAGCTGTCAAAGCCAAAATGACCAAAAAAATTATGAGATTAACAAGCCGTCACAGATAAATTAATCTCTAATTAAGTTTATGAATTACATAAGAAAAATTCATATAAAACAAATAAAGAACACAAAAACATACAAAAGAAATAAACAATTATGAGAAAATTTCTAATAAAACAAATTAAGAGCATAAAAAAAGTAGGCAAAAAACATAGACAAAGATAAATTAAAAAAAATAAATAAAGAGCATAAAAAATAAACAATTATAAATTAATAACGTAAATAAAGAGCATGAAAAAGCATACAAAAATAGACAATCATTAACTAAAGGAGAAGGTAAGCAAACTTACCTCAAAGACGACAACACTTGATGTACAAAGCCAAGTTGTGGAGAGCCATCTCAACTCAACAAGCTTGATGCCCTAAAAATATACAATGAGGTTAACAAAGCTGGCATGGTCAAATTAGTCCTCACGGCTAACTAAGTTAACAAGCCGTCACAGCTAAATTAACAAAACCCCCTAATTTTTAGCTAAATTAACAAAACCCCCTAATTTTTACTTAAAAACAAAATTGGATAACTAAGTTAACAAGCCATCACAGCTAAATTAACAAAACCCCCAAATTGGATAACTAAGTTAACAAGCCATCACAGCTAAATTAACAAAACCCCCAAATTTTTAGCTAAATTAACAAAAACCCCAAATGTTTACTTAAAAACAAAAATTTTGCTGGCACTAGCTTGGTTTTAATTTCAAGCCCAATTATTTTTAATTAATATTATTATAACACAAGCTTTAATATAAAGCCCAAGTATTTTTTTCAACTCTTGAAGAGTTTTTTGTGCTTTTTTATTTAGTTATCTGTGTGTGTGTGTTGGAAGGAAGAATGAGCTATTTATATAGAGGGAAGGGATGAGGAAGGAATGAGAAGTGGACAATATGAGACTTCTTAGGAAATCTGTTTTTTTTTCAATGTGGACAGTCATTTTTCGACAACCATATCTCACATTAGAGGACTTAGCTTGAAAATCGATTTAGTTAGATTGAAGTATCATATTAAACGAATATGCCGACCAAATTTGAGGATGATCCAACGGTTCAATTGAGAGAAATAGCTCTCGGAAAACTGCTACCCAAAATAGTGTGGTGATCTAAAAAACAAACAGCCTTCTTTCAACATTTATATCTCACACCAGAGAACTCAGTTCAGAAATCAGTCCGGTCAGATTGTAGTTTACATGAGAGGAACGTGCTGACAAAATTTGAAAACGATCCAATGGTTCATTTGGGAGAAATGACCCTCACAAAATCATTACTCGCTGTAGAAACGTCTAGGAGATCTGTTCCGGTTTTGAATTTTCTGAAAATGATATAGTCATCGAAT